ATAGGATTAAAATTGTTACCTAAAATATAATTTTTTTTATTTTAGGAAACAATTTCAATCCTATTTTAAATATTGACATTTTTTAATATATATATATATTTTTAAAGTAACAACTATTATTGTGTTATTGCATTATCTTTATTCACCATACCCTTTTTTCCTCTTTTTCACTTCAGCTATTTATGCAAAATAGGGGATTTTCACTGTTACTTATAACTATTATTTATGCATGTGATAATGGGTATATTTTTTGCATGCTTATATTATACATATAGGTTTTATTACACACAGTGTTAATATGACAGTGTTCATTCATATATATGTATATATATATATATATATATATATATATATATATATATATAAAACAAAAATAGTAATGCACTCCACCTTCCTTGATGTACTTGCCCGGTGCTTATCAGCAAACAGATAGCACTCCAGGGACTTCCAAGTTGAATGAATAAAACTTAGCTTTTATTAGCTCAAAATAAAAATCAACGTTTCAGTCTGTATCACAGACTTTCATCAGGATGAGCTTGCAAATCAAATCCATAAGAATATATTAGACTTGGGTATTTCAGAAATTTTCGTTTTGTACGAATGTATTCGTACGAAAAAGAAAATACTTTAGTCAGAACCGAAATTTGTCAATTCTTTCATTCGTTTTCGTATGATATTCGGTAGTATTTTTGTTTCGGCTAAACTTGTTCGTTCATTCGGCGCGATTTAATTGAGCCAAATGAATTGAATATATAAAACTATGTTCCCTAATCCCTAAATACCGAATAGCTTCAACCGAACTCAGTAAAACCATTCGTTTCAAATGTTGTACCTTGCTAACAACATTGATTGAATGCTGTATTACGCCTAAAACTCCCGAACCGTCAAATGCACGAATGCTGGCATTCGCATGAAAATGTATTGGCTATATTAGTAAATTACCGAACACCATTCACTATAGTCATTCGTAGGTCGAATGGTATTGCAAACACAATGCAATCATAAAAGTCAGTTCCCTAATCCCTAAATAGCGAATAGCCTCAAGTGAACGCAGTAAAACCATTCATTCGTTTACATTTTCGTACATTGATCTCCCAACACATGGCATTGAACAATGTTCTAATCTATTTACGCCTAAAACTCCTGAACAAATTCCCGAACCGTCAAATGCACGAACACTGCCGTTCGCATGAAAATGTATTGGCACTATTAGTAAACTACCGAACACCACTTACAATAGTCATTCGCATGTCGAATGACATTGCAAATGCAATGCATTGCTTTTGCTTAGTTTCTTGGGCTCATGAATCATCATGCTTCCCTGACAGGTGGTACTGGCAACACAGTATCATTTTATAAGGGAGTGGGAAAGTAGTAGCCAATTAAATAGGCTTTTACATACTACCAGACAAAACTGTAGAAAAAAAAAGTATCAACTCAAGGCAGTCCTTCAATGCAAAATCTATCCAGATTTTCTATAGGCCAGCCATTCAGCCATTTTGGAGCTCAGCCAGCCCACCACCCTGTCAGCCATTTTAGGCACTTGGACACTGAGCCTGCCAGAAGTGGTCATGTCCTCCTCCAGCTCCTCAAGCGACATAGTCATGGATGTAGTGGAGGGGGGCATTGGCCACTCTGGCCAGGAGGTAGGAGAAGCAAGTGGGAGAAGCAAGCAGAAGCAGAGGCAGCCCAGGATCTTAAAAAGAGCAGATCCTGGGAGGAAGAATAAATACGCAGATAGCTTTTGTGCAGAGGAGAACACAGTACTGGTAAACAAGCTTTGCCAGTACTACCAATGTATATTTGGGGGAGCAGCCAAAAAGAGTTCAAGAGCACAGAAGGAAAATTGGCGGAGGAAGATTGTGGCAGCGGTGAATGCTGTTGGAGGGAACAACCGCACCGAGGACGTGGTGAAGAAACGGTAAGTGCACTAAAAAATAATTTTCTTTATGCCATGTTTTATTAAAACTTATTTTTTTCCTCCATGTGCTTTTGCTACACCCCCCCACCAGTGGCAGCTATGCTTTTAAAGTCTTTTAAAAGTGAGGGTTGGGTCACTTAAGCACATAGAGGAAAAAAAAAAACATGTGCAGCTCAGCTTTAAAGGAACACTATAGTGATAGGAATACATGTTTGCATTCCTGTCACTATAACTGTGAAAACACAGTTTAACCTCCCTCTCAGCAATGTAACTGTAATTAAAGGGACACTCCAGTGCCAGGAGAACAAACCATGTCCCACCCCTCATCCCAGGGGGAGACCAATTGCGCATGCACTGCCGCCGGCGGGGTGAGACCTAATGCGCATGCGCTGCAATGCTGCACATGCACATTAGACCTCCCCATAGGAAAGCATTGAAAAATGCTTTCCTATGGGCGTTTCAGCGACACCACTAGAGGAGGAGTTAACCCTGCAAGGTAAATATTGCAGTTCATGAAAACTGCAATATTTATTTACAGTTGCAGGGTTAAGGGTAGTGGGAGTTGGCACCCAGAAGTGGTCTGGGTGCCTGGAGTGGCCCTTTAATTACTCATCCTTATAGCAGAGCTGTGCTCTGCCTCCTTGGCTGCGATCTTCATAATTGACAAGATCAGCAAATCCAATGCTTGGTCTGGGTGCCTATAGTATCCCTTTAAACATGTCAGTAAACATATATATAGAAACATATTAAAGTAATTAATGAATTACACATGTCATTGCAGTTACTACGACATCAGGCGGATGGTGAAGAGGAAGGTGAAGGCAGCAGCCGCCTCCAGGAAGACAGGAGGCGGTTCACAAGAACCGGACCTGCTGCCCTATGAAGAGGAGCTCCTGCAGTTCCTGGGAAGAGACAACCTCCTTGGGATTGAGGGGACACCTGGCACTGAAACATCTGAAGGTACGATGTTAAAGGACCACTATAGTGCCAGGAAAACAAACTCGTTTTCCTGGCACTGTAGAGTAATTAGGTCCCTCCCCACCCTCGTGGCCCCCTTCCCACTTCAGCCACTTACCTTTCTCCAACCCCTTCAGCCACTTACCTTTCTCCAGCGCATGGCTCCCTCGGCGCTGGGGAACACTCCTACCTCTGCCGACGTCAGCTCCGAATGCGCAGCAAGAGCCGTGCGCGCATTCAAACCACCCATAGGAAAGCATTACTCAATGCTTTCCTATGGACGTCCACAGTGAGAATCGCGGAAGCGCCTCTAGTGGCTGTCAGTGAGACAGCCACTAGAGGCTGGATTAACCCTCAGTGAAACAGCAGTTTCTCTAGAACTGCTATGTTTTCAGCTGCAGGCTTTAAACTAGAGGGACCTGGCACCTAGACCACTTCATTGAGCTGAAGTGGTCTGGGTGCCTATAGTGGTCCTTTAAATTCATATTTGTTAGTCGAAATGTACATATATCAGTTTGCTTGTGTTAACCTTCCAATGTGTGTTTTCTATGCCATCAGTGCAAGCCCCTCAATCCCCAGAAGAGGCACCAGGAACTGCAGGAGATGCTGTCTCCACGGAGAGCGGGGCAGCAGGTTCACCTCCTGTCTCCCTGGAAATGCGCCTGGCTTCACTTTCCTCTCGTAAGTACTTGCATAGCATTGTTAGATAAATGTTATGTGTGTGTGTGCGTGCGCATTTAAACATACACACACGTATGTGATTTTACTGTATATGAAGTTAATTTATTACATACATGTATTTCAGGCCATCCGCAACTTGTCGACGTTTCTTCACCACGTACGAGTGCGGTTTCCCTCCAACAGCCGGCCACTGGTGTCCAGGAACAGGGATCCACTGCTGAGCGTAAGTAAAAAATGCTTTAACCGTACACATTTTCTTTGCAGGCATACTAGTTTATGTAACAGGCAGGGCCGGGTCGACCGCTAAGCATACTAAGCATCTGCCTAGCACGCAATGGCCAGAGGGCTAAATGTCTGGGTGACCAGCAGGGGTGGGGGGGAGCTCACATCGCTCCTCCCCTTCTGTTCACTTTATGTACTGTGGCTGAGTGGACCACGTGTGATCTTATCTACCATCTTCTTGGCCTGACAGGAAGCTGAGTGCAACGATCAGCTTCCTGTCATGCAGAAGAAACAGGAGATTCTCTACCTGGGGACGCTCGTCCACGATACATGTAGTGAGATTAGAATGAAAGGTAGGTGGGCACAAAGACATGCAAACAGACAGAGAAAGGGCTAGGGGGGACAAAGATGCATAACTATACTTAGACATAATAAATTAATAGCATGACTGCATATATCTTATTTCCAAGTTTAAATAATATTGTTTTACAGATAATAGTAAGCATTGCAACATATGACACATGCTAACAATGTTCTTTCTCTGTTCTCCCCTATAGGTTCTGATGGTACTCTCCCCCTGCAAGAGGAGGGTACCATTACCCTAACAGCAGTGGATCCTGATTCAGAGACATCAGTGGCCGAAGAAATGCAGTTGCCACATCTTCCTCCACCATTGGCTGCGCTGTATGCGTCAGGCTCGTCAAGCTGAACTGGAGACGTCCATACAGCAGGATAGGGAGAATCAGTGAGAACTATTGCAGAATGTAATAACCGAGGTACGCTCCATGTCGAACATTTTGAATGAGGGTGTTAGGCAATTTACATCAGCAATGGTTTCCTTGCAGCAAAATATGCAGCGCTTTATGGAAATGAGGGAGGAAGAGTGCATTTTAATGCGCGCGCAAGCTGCCCATAATTTGGGCATAACCATCGCTGATGTAGATAGCCTAGTTCGTGAAAGACGTGCGCAGGGTCTTCCCAGAAGGGATGATGATGATGAATAGATATCTGTGGGAAGAATGCACTCAGATGTTTATTTCTCATTATCATCCACAATGTGAACACAACTGACGCTGTTCATCGTAGGTTGTTACATTCTCAATTTCCTCCTGGTTTTCCCTATCCTTCCCCTGAATATACATTGGTTCATTCTCCTCTGCACTATATCCTCCCAGGACTGCTCCTAACAACCTGGGCTGCCTCTGCTTTGTTGCTTCTCCCACTTGCTTTTCTAAATAAAAAAAATATTGGATTACAACTTCTGACTCCTCTTTTCTTTAATAATTTTTATATATATACATACATACACACACACTCACACACACACACAAACACACTTGAAAAAATAATATCACTATATATAAATAAAAATAATTACAAAATATATATACACATAAAGCAAATAGTGAACAGAGCACTTCTTAGGAAATTTTCAATTGTGTATTTAAGTAATCTTGATTACTTATTAAATACATGATTGAAAATTTCCTAATGAGTGCTCCATTCACTATTTGCTTTATGTTTGGCACTGGAAGCACCCAGGTATTACAAGTTATATTTTTTAATGATGGTGAGTGTCGGATTTTATATATATATATATATATATATATATATACACACAAACATGTGTATATATATATATATATAATAATTCTATGTATATATTTATGTAATAGTTTTACATAATTAGGTCATTTTATTAATTACAATTTGCAGGACCTGACTGACAACCCAGGCCAAAAGTCCAGG